ACCGAGGAGGTCGTCAAGGCCGGTCCCGTCGTTTAAAGCGCAAGCATGCTCTGAGTTGATTAGCGATCATATTTATGGATTTATGAAGGACTCTTTTCTTTAATCATCTTTTGGGTACAACTTTGGGAAATCAGGATGTGTCGTCGACATAGTTCCGACACGAACATAATTGTCGCGTGGATTGGATACCGCGGCAAGTTTTGGGGATTTGGTGTCAAAACGGAGTGATATCTGTTCTGTGCTTCATTTCATAGAATGAGAATGAGAATAAACATGAAGCAAAATTACCGTTCCAAATTTTGAATGTGAATGTTCCGACCCACCAATGTTTATTATCAACCTTATTGAACTATACTGGCTGTAGTGCACCGATTTGAGCAAAATTCGATACCTCTCTCAGAACTTGTCACTAGCCAGCTTGTTCTCAACTAGCCCCAGGGGGGAAATTTGTAACAAAGTTATGAACTTCATCAAGGATGTAAGTTGCAACCAGTCATCTCTCAGCGTCAATGTGCGCACGTTGTCAAGTGATGATGTCTCGTAACTTTGTAGTTTTGTATGTTCTCTCAGTCTAGGTTCTTCCTCTTTTTCTCATAGCCCCCCGCATCTACCAATCCCTAGATGAAATTTTCTCCGCCACGATCCATCTCACAGACCCAACAGGTGGCATATATATCTCCTTACCGCTCTTAAACTCCCACCCTTCAGTCCGGCCGCCACACGACTTCATCAACGCCTCTACTTCGTCCGGCGTCCGCGTCCTCAGCGCAGAAATGTACCCGTCAAACACCAACACAAACGGAATGATCGGAATGAGATAGGTGAAAATGAGGACGGAGAAGCTGCGTAGCCTCCATGCGTAGAGCGGCGCGAAGATGAAGCAGCCGATACCGAGGATCGCGGGCATGATGAAGGACAAGAGGTCGCGGCCCTGCAGCTCCATAATAGCGAAGCCGTCCGACGTCTCGAGTGTATTCTTCAAAATCGCCTTCGCCAGCGGGTCGTCAAAGTGGTGGAACGCCAGATTAAACAGCCGAAACACCTTTTTGCCCTTGGAGGTATACCCGTCGACCAGCTCGCGCGGCGCGTGCGCGGCGTCGACGCTCTTTGGCTCGTAGCCGATATGCTCGCTGCGCGCGGCGGCGCGGGCCCAGGACTCGGTGTTTGGGTGCAGGTCCGTCAGCACGAAGTCGACGTTGGGCTGCTTCTGGGCGGTGAGGTGGCGGTTGACGAAGCGCTCGATGGCCGGGGTGGGACCGCCGGAGCCGGCGCAGAAGTCGATGAAGGTGTAGGAGGGGAGGCGAGGACCGAGGACGTGCTGGAGGATCTGGGCGGCGACGCGGGCCGGGGAGGAGGTTTGGAGGACGGGGACGCGGTAGACCCAGGCTGCGTGGAGGCCTTCTTGGACGTAGGCTCGGAGGAAAGAGGGGAACCTGGGGTTGGGAGAGGATGTGTTAGCATTCTGCGATAGACAGAGAGAATTGTGAAAGGCGAGAGTAGGAATTGGGAGGCGCAACTCACCAAGGCTGGTCGTCAATCTCAAAGAGGTGGAATCGCGGGACGAGAGGCGCCATCGTGATGACGTCGAGATGCAAGTAGCTGTCGTAGCAGGATTTCGTTTAACACTGGTGGCCGGTTGAGCAGTTAATGTAGTTGATTGTACTGGTAGAAGAGTTTAGGTGACCAAATCACATGCAAAGCGTCCGATGTGTAGCTCCTTGCAAATCGGCTGGAGGTTCAATCTGGCGGCCACGAGGGCTTTATTACACGGTGCTTCTTGTTGAGACAGATGGAAGTTCGTAGCAGAATTGGGGTCCCCCTGTGCCCTGCCGTTAGCCGGCACGGGGTGGCGGGTGCGGGAGCTATCGCATTCGCTAGTGCTGAGCTCGAGACAGGGAAAGCTCCAGCCCGGGCATGGGTCCGACCCCCCCAAGCTCCGCTAGAAACGTGCCCACTAGGTATCTCATCAGTTCACCACGACGGAAGCAGCACCTGAGACCGACCTGGGTTCCAAAGAACAAGGTGATCACAGGCTAGATTGATTTGGCACATCGTTGAAGTCTGGTTGTAAGTACCCTTGACGGTATCATGGCGCGTAAGGTCAAGAGTTCTTGGAAAAGAACGTCAACATGATGGCGGGGAGCTACCTTATCCTTAAAGGTAACAAGGGCCAAGGGCTTGAAGTTTCGACAGGGGTGAGATGTTTAGTGTACGCAGTAATGTGGACTTACTCGGGAGCGGTGCAATGGAACTCTGAGTTCCCCCGTCGGGGATGCAAGCTACCAATTGCTCCCCTCCCACTGGTCAGCGCCTAGGTATTGAGACGTTGGGGCCATTGGACAATCGTGTTGGCCTTCGTCTTCGTCATCATATACTTCGTGGTATCATTCTTCCTCACCCCTCCTCAACGCCTTCCTTCCACCATTCCTTTTCTGGCCGAGTTTAGTCAAGATCGAGAAGCTAGAAGTTACAGTCTTTCACTTACGGTAAATTGGGTCTCAAGTACGGATGGTGTCTTCGGCACATATTGTAGTGGAAAGTCGTCCCATATCTCCATTACGAGAGATCAAGGACATCGCCTCGTGATGGCCCTGGTCAATGCCTCAGCAGCCGTCGTAGTGGTTGCGATCTCACTCCTAATATACGCCATCTTTGGTCAGCCAAAGCTGAGGAGGAATGGCGTCCCATTACGGTCAGTTCACCAACTTTCAAGCCTGTTGAGCTACCTATTGAATACACCGTTTGGTTGGATATTGACTTTGGCCTAGACGACCTCCTAATACACTGCCGCTCGCCGGAAATGGCATCATCTTCCTCAGAGATCGCCAGAAGCTATTCGACTGGTTCACCAAGTGTGAACAACTTTACGGCTATGAAACGCTGCAAATCTCTGTTCCCAGTCTACCTCCAGGGGTCATCATCAGCGATCCCAAGAACCTAGAATACGTCTTCAAGAACGAGGGCATATTTGCCAAGGGGGAATTCTTCAAGGGGAGATCGAGGGACTTGTTTGGTGGGTCTTAGTGCCTCTCGGTATTGATGATCACTCCGCTTACGGGCCACAGGTAATGGCATAATCAATGTTGATGGCGACCTGTGGAAGGTCCAGAGAAAGGCCGGCCTCAATTTCCTCAATACCTCGAACCTGAGAGTTCTCACAGACGTGGCGTTGCCACAGTATCTATCTCAGAGTGTCGCCTACCTTGGAAGCCAGTCAGGTAATGATGTGGTGGACTTGCAGGCAGTCTTCCACGAAATCACGACCCAACTCATGGGCAAGATGGCTTACAACGTATGTTGGCATGCTTCTCACAGTCCATTCTGTCCTTCTCATTGCTCCATCTAACACATGACATAGATGGAAATGCACGCAGAAGACACGTTTGGCCTGTCCTTCGACTACGCATCAGGTGCGACTGCAGAGCGGTTCCAGAATCCAATGTGGTTCCTCACAGAGATCCTCACAGGAGCACGTCTGAGGAAATCCATCTCTGTCGTGAAATCCTTTGGACAGAGCATAGTCTCCAGTGCGATGACGGACAGAAAAGCGTCTCCCAAAACCGCGCCAGACGTCTCACAAGATCTGGGGAGCGACAGGCTCGACAACATATCCGGCAGTTTAGTCCAGTCATTGCTAGACACCATTGGAGACGAGCAGCTAGTTGCCGATGCCGCGCTGAATTACCTCTCGGCAGGCAAAGATACCACGGCGCAGGCTCTGACGTGGACATTCTACCTGCTCATGCAGCACCCGGAGGTTGTAGCCAAGATCCGCGAGGAGGTCGACGACATTAAACAGCAAAGTGAGGAGGACTCACTTGAGAAAGCCATTGCGGAACGGGGTAACCCGAATACGATGCCGTACGTCTTCTCAGTCTTTTACGAAGCGCTGCGCATCTTCCCACCGATCCCTTTCGAAATCAAACAGGCTGTTCAGGCGACAACGCTACCGGACGGCACCTTTCTACCCCAGAACTCCGTCATTGTCTGGTGCACCTGGGCGATGAACCGCTCGCGCACCACATGGGGCTCTGATGCGGACCAGTTCCGGCCCGAGCGATGGCTGGTCGACGGTAAAGTCATCAACAAGAGCACCTCCGAATTCCCAGTCTTCAACGGCGGGCCAAGAACATGTTTGGGGAAGAAGATGGCTGAGATCATTGCTGTGCAAGTAATTGCTACCGTAGCTGGTCTCTTTGATTGCGTGAGAGTCGATGAGTCGACGAGAGTCAGCAAGAGTAGTCTTACCTTGCCGATGAAGGACGGCCTGCCCTGTTTTGTACAACGTAGACCTGATGTCGAATTTTAAGCCATCAATCTTCCGCTTTTGAGGGTTCTCGTTCCCTTTGGTGGTCACTTTTGAAACTATTGAAGGCAGGTAAGTCAGAGGATGGGATAGGGGACACGACGTTGCTTCCGGAGGATCATCGATAACGGGTAGGGACCACTGTCGCATGTCTGCACCCCCGGTTGAAAGAACAGAATGCAAAACATCATTCTTTGGTCCATCAGGGTCTAAATGATCAAAAATTATGCTTCAACAGCAAAAAAGTTACAAAAATTATAGCACAACCTGGTTTCGATCCAGAGACCTCTGGGTTATGAGCCCAGCGCTCTACCCCTGAGCTATTGTGCTTTGATGTGGGGCTGATTGCTGAAGGTCTTCACTTAGACTAACAATCATCGATGCCCGCTCGCTCCGCACAGCACTTAGGTCTAGAATCCTGCACCTTTGTAATCGCGTGTCATTTGTGGAAATTCTCAGACATTGAGTAGAAGCAAACTGTGACGTTTAAGTGTTATAATAGTTTGAGGTATCTTTTCTGCCTTTAGATTGTTGCTTATTGACCAGTACAAGTTGGGGAAGTACACCAGTACACGTGAGGTATCACCAAGTCAGACCGTTTGTACGCAGACAAAGTCTTAACAGATTAATTACAGAGACACAAAAAGCCTATTATGAGCTAAAGCTTTGGACACCCTTTCGAGTCTTCTTTTGACTACCTGAACCACCAATTCACGGAGGCATTCAACCTCCCATCATGATGTCTACTCTTGACACTATGCCACCAACCTTTGGGGATGAAGAGAGCATTTCCAGGGCCCAATTGAGCCTCTGTAATATCCGCGTGGCTCTCCGATCCCCAGACAGCTGTGTTCATTGCTACCCTCTCGCGGCCCTCCATCATTTCCGTCGATCTGATGCGACTACTCCCCGACTGCTGAAGCTGAGCCTGTATCTGACGATACAACCGATCGCCAGATGACGGCGGTAGCAGGCGGACTGTTTTGCTGCCAACAAGTTGACAGAATAAATTAGGGTTCGGATCGCGGTGTAGCGGGGTATATGTCGGCTCCAGCCCAAGCCACAAGCTCGAATTGTATACGTCGCCTTTACCGGCTTCCAAGACAATGCGTGGGACAGGCAGGTCTTCCTGGAGTTCTAGAGGTAGGTCCGGGAGTTGAGCCTGGGCTATGTAAAGCTGCTTGATCTTCTTCTCGTGCAGGCTGTTGAATTCCGCAGCCTTGAGAAGAAGTTGCAGGGGAGCAACGAATGACGAGAACTTTGGCTCCGAGGCATCTGGGTGGGATGCTGCGTGGACGATGCCTGCTAGCACTGCACCCATGGGATCCGGATCAGACGCGAGCCATGCAAGAAACTGTTGTGTTGTGTTCACTATAACTCCAGAATCGTCGGCGCTCTGAGGACTTATGAACTCGTATGGGAACATGTGGTGGGCGAATTGGTTCATATAGGGAGTGAATTTGGCGGTGGGTTTCTGGTTAGCGTCTTGAGTTTGGGCGAACCATTTTGAAGATGCCGAGAAGGAACTCTGCTGAGCAGGGTTGGAGGACTGGCCAAATAGGAGGGGTTTTTCTTGTGTGAATGAAGATCTTCGAAATTCTTCGATATTGACTACCTCGAATGAAGATTTTGTAGCTTCTACCGAGTGTAATGTTGAAAACCCACGTCGAATTTGGGGGGGCCTGGATGAAGTGAGCGCGTGGCAACAGCCGCGGGCAAGAAGCCTCATGTCTGAGAGCATCTACTGAAGGACCATAGTCTTAAAGAAAATAAACGAGAACAAGAATTGTTATGTATCATAGAACGAGCCATCAGCAAGCTAAGAAGAGCAGTGATGGGCGAGCAATTCGACTTGATTTGACATGGCTACGTACCTAGACACATACGTCTCGGTGAGTAGCAATGAATCAGTGGAAGCGAGAAGGAGTACCCTCACCGAGAAGATCGGCGAAGGGAACAACTAGAGGCCCGCTCACCGAAGGACCGATGGAGTGCGCACAGACCAGCATAGTGATTGGACGTAATCTCAGCGGGCTGGGCTTCGTGAGGCACCGCAGTCCACAGCCCACCCACCACAACTACAGCTTTTGCTGAGAGGCTCCAAATACCGCTTCTCTCCCCTGCCGCCAGAAAAAAAGGACGGGGAAGTATTTCTCTGTATCGCAACTCAAGTCTGATCAGTACACAGCATCCGACCGCTCGCGAAACCATTCCTCGATCTCGCAACTTCCCCATCGTCCTTCGCGCTCGACATGCGCCGCACTTGACCCGTCACGCCCCCCAACTACCCCGCCACCTTTGCGCCCCTGCTGGGAGACCATCGATATCCAAAGCAGCTGTTCGGAGACCATCGCTGTCCTCCATCCGACGACTGTATCGCGCGTGCTTGCCCGCGTCGCAACCCAACCCATTTTTAAACGACACCCCGTCAATACCATCACCTTGGATTACCTCGACGACATGTCCACCTCTTCGGGGGCCCCGGAGTCTTGGATATCTTCCTTTTGCTCTCTCCTTGGCCATGAATACTTCGCTGAGGTTTCTGAGGAGTTCATCGAGGATGACTTCAACCTCACTGGCCTGCAGAATCAGGTCGCGATGTACAAGGAGGCACTCGAGGTACGCAGGCTGTTTCTTTCTCGCTTAGATTTTCTTTTTTCTTTTGTTCTTCTAGAGATTGGGAGCTCAAGCGACCTTTTCAGCCCCCAGGCTGCGCGATAGACGTCAATGCTGACCTGACCTGCATAGATGATCCTTGATGTGGAGCCTGAAGAGGACGAGGACGAAGAGGAGGAGGAGGATGAAGACGAAGACGAGAACGACTCGGGAGATCAAGACCGACTCGGCCCCAGACACGACCGGAGACAACATAGCCGCATGGCTAGCGACCTAAGTGTTATCGAGTCTTCCTCCGAGATGCTTTACGGCTTGATTCATCAGCGATTCATTTGCTCGAGGGCGGGCATTCAACAGATGAGCGAGAAGTATGAGTTGGGCCATTTCGGCTGCTGCCCCCGTACCAACTGCGATCAAGCGAGAACACTCCCTGTCGGTCTCTCTGATATTCCCGGCGAAGACACCGTGAAGCTGTTTTGCCCTTCCTGCCTCGACGTCTACGTCCCTCCCAACAGCCGTTTCCAAACCGTCGACGGTGCCTTCTTCGGCCGTACCTTTGGCGCCCTCTTCCTCCTCACATTCCCGGAATACGACCTCACTAAGCGTGGGGCCGAGGTTCTCAGCAGCGGCGGCGCTCGTATTAACGATGATTCGCTCGAGATGATCAATGGCATGTACGCTAAGAACATTGCACCGGGCCTGGGCGCTGGACGTATATATGAGCCCCGTATTTACGGCTTCCGCGTTTCCGAGATTGCAAAATCAGGCCCTCGGATGCAGTGGTTGAGGGACAGGCCGGATAGCATGACCGAACTGGACGAGGCGCGTCTGTACGCGGATGGACACCCCGATTCAGACGATGACGAGGAGAACCTGAACGGCAACGGCCGGCCTACGCCCCGTCGCCGTGCTCCTGGCAATGCGCGCCTCCGTGCAACGCAACGCCAGGCGCAGAATGGCAGCCCGATGGCTGTGGAGACGAACGGTGCAGAGTCGGAGCTTTAGGACTTGGTTTGGAAAACGATTCGTACTTATGGGACCGGTAGTCCTCCAAGGTTGGGCGGCGAGTGTGGCACCGCGCCAGGATGGAGGCAACAGGCCAGAGAGAGAAAGATGTCGGTGCAGATCGAGCGAGACGGTCAATACGGCTGCTCTGCATAAGGTAGATGGCGTTTAGGAGGCACACCCCGATCTCCGTTGATGAAAGAGGCACGGCGTTGCTAAGGGAGATGCATTACTGAAGTAAACAACTCATGCCGTTACACGAACTCTGGTTTCAACTCCTTTTGCAGGCAATGGTGCCTGTTGTATAGGCTGAATGCGACGGCCATTGCATTTCTGGGCCTCGGGACACAGAATATAGACTGCATGCAATTCGACGGTCAAAAACAACGACTCTTCATCTCGCTCTCATCGCGATGCATGGAGACAATACCTCTACACAACGCTCGGCGGCAGATCTCCTTGTAGGTAGCGATGGCCCCCGTGAAAACCACATCCTGCCCATGGGGTCAGCTTCTCGATGTCCACGTTGCGTCTTTCCTTGCCCTGCATACTAGTAACGTATCACTGGCCTGGTATTCTCCATTTCACCCCGCCCCCTCCTCCCACCTGCTCCTCTCCTCCCGGTCGCGTATTTCCCGGATCGCCATCATGCTTAATGCCCCAGACGATCCTCCTAGACCCACAAACCCATGCAGAATATATTCGATGAGAGGACTATACGGCCCCGGGTGAATGCTAGACAAATCTACGATCGAGCCTCTCTTCATTTATCCTATGCCTGCCATTTACCCGGATGATGTCACCCTGTACCGACGATGCGGGGACTCGAGCTAGGCTTGTTTGTTGGCAGATATCCCGAGCATGTTTGATGCGATTACCATGGCCTTCTAGTTCGCCTATAAGTCGCCCATCTAGTCCCGAATGTAACTACTGAGTGTCATATCTTGGAGAGAAGGGCATGTCACTTGCATTATAGTAGACATTATGTTTTCACTTGTAACATTGGCCGTGTGGCTGATGTGGCTTTCAGTGTCAGAGGGATCTAACTCGACCTTTTATAACCCAATAATCCCAGGGTTTCATCCAGATCCTAGCTGTATATTTGTCCCTGAGTGGAATGATACCTTCTTCTGCGCATCCTCTAGTTTCAATGCATTCCCGGGTATACCACTCCATGCTAGTAGAGACTTGCAGAATTGGAAGCTAGTCGGTATGTTTCAATGACCTGTGAGGGTGAATACTTCATTAACATGGTCTAGGGCACGTCTTGAACAGGGAAGAACAGCTCCCTCGACTTGTTGAGACAAACCGATCCACAAGGCAAGTCTCTCGGGGTGAGAAGAAAGCTTGCCGCGCCTGACAGAATTCAGTGGTATTTGGGCACCGACACTGCGCTATCACGATGATACGTTTTGGCTTGTTACGACTCTTGTAGACGATGACAGAGACGCGACAGATGCTTCGCGGTGGGACAACGTATGATCCGATCCACGTTCTTCTCCTTGACTCATCTAACTCAGTTCTCGGGTCCAAGATTATCTTCAAGGCGCAAGATCCTTTTAATCCGGAATCTTGGACCGACGCGGTCCATTTTGAGTTTGAAGGATACGATACGGAGCCATTTTGGGACGATGATGGTAAGACATACATCAATGGTGCCCACGCCTGGAAGATCGGGTATGTGTTATGGAAATGAGAGCGACCCTCGGAGGAAAAAACACAAACGCTGAAACGATACAAGACCGTGGATTCAGCAGGCGGAGGCCGATCTCAACACCGGGAAAGTCGGCGAATGGAGAACTATCTGGAATGGCACAGGCGGCATGGTCTGTGATGAGTCCTCTGGAGACTTCCTCAGGGCTGACATGGGAATAGGCACCCGAAGGACCACATATCTATCGTAAAGATGGCTACTACTATCTTCTGGCTGCCGAAGGTGATTCCAAATGAACATTCTGTGGGCTCCGAAAGCTAATGGCAAGTTGAAAGGCGGCACTGGGCTTGGCCATATGGTCACGATGGCCCGCTCAGAGAGTATTGGTGGTCCGTATCAGTCAAATCCATTGAACCCTGTTCTGACCAACGCCAATACTACCAATTATTGTTAGCAAAGCGCAAAGAGTGCTCTCTTTCCAAGTTGGCTCTGCAGGCGAGGCTAATGGAGATCAGTTCAAACTGTCGGACACGCAGATCTATTTCAAGATGCCTCTGGGAATTGGTAAGGAGCTCCACCATTGTACTTCGAGTAGCTAATGAGAATCAGGTGGTGTGTTGCCTTGGGCACGAGATCAGGGCCAGAATGGCGCAACTTTCCAATGGGCCGAGAGACTGTCATGACTTCGGTAACGTGGAACGAGGGGGAATGGCCATACTTTACCCCCATCGAAGGGAAGATGAGTGGCTGGGAGATGCCGCTTGAGAATCTGGATATTGAAGGCCCCGGGTACGTATTACATCTTTTCCCTCTCAAGAAGACTTCTGCTAACCAAGCTAGCCCATGGATCTCACTGGGAGAAATTGAAGGCGACGCGTTTGACTTCTCTCCGAATTCGACCCTTCCAGCTCACTTCACGTATTGGCGGTATCCGATCGAAAGCTCATACATAGTTTCACCGCCTGAGAAGCCCAACAGCTTACGTCTGATACCCTCCAAACTCAACCTCACCGCTCTAAATGGGAACTACGCGGGTCCCGATGGCCAGACATTCATTGGAAGAAGACAGCAAGACACGCTCTTCTCTTATAGCGTCGAGCTTGACTTTCAACCAACCGAGGAGGAGGAAGAGGCCGGCGTTACGGTGTTTCTTACGCAGAACCATCACCTTGATCTCGGCGTTGTCTTGCTGCCCGCGAGCGCAAGTACGCAGGCCTTCCCTGGCCAGAATTTGACGACGGGGGGAAATCCGACTGATCTCAAGCTTCAATTTCGGTTCCGAGCTATGTCGTATGTTGCTGTTCCCACTGATATCGTGGCACCAGTACCGGAGGACTGGCTTGATAAACCACTCAGATTGGAGATTCGGGCTGTCAACATGACACATTACTCGTTCTCTGCTGGGCCAGCTGGGTCAGCTTTCCAGACCAAGAATCTTCTCTACGCCTCCAACGATGCGGTTAGTTGGGGTTTCACAGGTATGCCGCTTTCTCTTTCTGAATCAAAGCTTTCGCTGATAGCTCAACAGGTGTATTCCTCGGGGTGTATTCGACTAGCAACGGGAGGACAGGAAATACGCCTGCTTATATCTCAAACTGGAATTACACCCCCGAGGTGCAGTTCAGAGATTGAAAATCACCAACCAGATCGGACTTTTCAAAAGTTGGATATGTTTAAAAAGGAAGCTACAAGTAGATTCTCTGTACTGGTCCTTGTACACAGCAATCTTTCCAAACTCTCGTTCTCTTCGGTGATCAAGATCGCGGGTACACATTCACGTCAACAAACTGACCCGGAGAATCATATGCTTTCTCTGGCAGATCACAACAACAACGGCAAGATGGCCGAGCGGTCTAAGGCGCTAGCTTCAGGTGCTAGTCAAGTAATTGGCGTGGGTTCGAATCCCACTCTTGTCATTAAGTTTTGCTGATGGAGATATCATCGAGGTATGACGTGCCTGGGGGCCGAAAACATTATATTCCCCTTAACGTTCACAATGATGTCTATTCCGGGATATTATAGCACCCCATGCCTACCTTGAAGGATTGGATGTTCTATTTTGGTCTCTTGACCGCCTCCGATTTGAGTATATGGGGTGGTTAAGTACGACCTTGCCCATATTGTTCTCTAGCGGCCGCGATGGTCATGATTGTGGGACTAATCCATGATATGTTCCTTAAGGAATCAGTGTGGCATGCCCACGTCTAGATGTATGTTCAACATAAGGATGGCAGGAGCTGGCTCATAGAGAGTGTCGACACTTTCTTTGCATAGGCTGCTAACGTCATTAAGAAGCAATAGACAAGAGTAGAGCATCTGCAATTCCCTGGCTTTATTCGAGATTGATGCTTCGGCACACATGAGTCACTCAGCCGCTCGAGACCAACGAGCAGTTGGTCCGACGTGAGAGTCACCTCCACGTCCTCGGAGCAGCACTCCATGTCGCTCGTCGAGCAACTCGGAAGACGATGAAGGAAAGATATCACCAAACAACAGGCCAGCATGCTCAAACAGACAGAGTAACTCTCATAGTACATGTTTATTGTTTCTACATGGGTGTACATAGTACAGTCCTTCCTAATCTAGCAGGTTCATCAATCAAAGTGAAGGTTAAGGGATCTATTGATATCCAGGTTAGCTAGTGCTTTCGTGCTAACAAACGCTTGATTAAGTTTTGCTTCAAAGCTACATTCAGACTGTTGAGCTTGATAAATTGAATCAACATAGTATATTCTGTTGGCCGTTCTTAATGGAAGAGTTGATCATCAACGTAGCAACCCGCGATGGAGTCAAATTTGTTAAGAAAAAATGAGACCAAATGCTTACCGAGCAGGGAAAATTCTGTGAACAGAATGTAGTGAAGTGAGTAAAAATCCGAGGTAAAGCCCTCGTGTCGCCTGAAGGCAGGATGCGCAGGAGATACCATGAACGATTTGAGTACTCTGATACAGTCGACCATTGAGATTCTCAAAAGAGATCGATACTCGGTTTGGTTCGTCCTTTATATCGAAGTGAGGAAAAAAGCCGCGACTGGAGAGAGACAGAAAAGATTTTTGTAGTCAAGGTCTCGGTGGTGCACGGCCCATGCGGAACGGGCTCGCTTACTTCAGATGATGGGGACAGTTGAGTTGAGCCTTAGGCAGATGGCGGCTCCCCATCAAGGACTGTTTAGCTGCATCTATCCCTCGAAACAAGAATCACCCCGCTATTTATGCCAGTATCTACCGTATAGCACTTGCACAATCGCATGCTGACAGTCGAAGCGGTTGCCCAGTAGGTTACAGGTGTCAGAAGTTCAGAACCCCACCATTAATACTGGGCACCTAAACCCAAAGACCAGGTAGGCACTGCCCTATGCCTAAAACCAGGAAGTTGCCCGACAGGTGACGTTAGGTACCTGACCACAGTGACCAAGTGCCCAAGCACACAAGGCAAGGTACCTTAGCCTCCCGCCTTCCATTGCGTGTGTGCTGTGCGCCGCGCCCCTGCCATTCGATTGTGTTAGTTCCCCCCTCTTTGCCCACCACCCCTCCTTCGTTGCTCAGCCTGGCGACCGGCGAAAGCTCTCCTCCGACAAAAGTCTCGATCGCTTCAAACCCACCGTAAACAAACCGACCCCTCCTTCCGACCCGAAACCCCCTCGTCTTCAACACACCTATCCCCTTTCCAAATCAGACAAAATGGCGAACAGTAAGTAAGATGTGCACTCAACCGTCCCCGTCACTGCTGTAGCTGTTGTCTTTGCGCGTGCGCTCGCTCTGTGTGCTGCCCCGCATCTCCATGATGTTTTCGTCCTTTTTTTGCGCTTCATCAGACCAAGAAAATAGATAGATAGCTAACCGATGCCTTTTCGCAGACTTCGAGGAAATCGCAAGTAAGTGTTTCCATACTCGATAGCCGAGATAGCCCGCACCGCAATGCCGTTTGCTTGCCCTTCTTCGACAAAGAAGACACTGACGGCCTCCACAACGCAAACAGAGCAGTTCATCGAGTTCTACTACAACCAGTTCGACTCGGACCGCAAGGGACTTGCCAGCCTCTACGTGAGAAATCTACTGCTACATAGTCATCCGGGCATTCACTGACAACGATAATAATAATAGCGGGAGCACTCTATGCTGACTTTCGAGTCTGCTTCTTCCCTTGGTGTCAACTCCATCGTTGAGAAGCTCACCGTGTGTACTCCCAAAGAGAATGCGCAAATTCAATGCGCCGCCTGCAGTCCCCTCACTGACCCCTTTACAATAGTCCCTCCCCTTCGAGAAGGTCAAGCACCAGGTCACCACCCTCGACGCCCAGCCCACCGCTGATGGCGGCATTATCATCCTCGTCACTGGCCAGCTTCTGGTACGTATATGACATGCCCTGCGGCTGTTCCACCGTTGCAACTCTTTATCTAACCCAAGAAAAATAGGTCGATGAGGAGCAGCGCCCCATGAACTACACTCAGGCTTTCCAGCTTCTGCGTGATCCTGCCTCTGGCAGTTACTTCGTCTACAACGACATTTTCAAGCTTGTCTACGGTGCATAATTCTCCACGCACTCTAGGAGAATACGATTTGATGAGGCC